GGGCAGCAATGCAAGTTGTTGCCATTGCTATTTAGCCAGAGCTAACTGACTGATCCAGGCAGAGATGGGGTGTGAATGGCGCTGCGATGTGAACTAGGTCGCAGCGACAGCATGTTCCTGAATGTTGATTTACAAGTTGAGAATCTGTGCTTGGACGCAAACACCACAAGGTGGGGTAGTGGAATTTGTCATGGCGACTCCAAGTGCTTTAGCTGGCAGTTAAATAAATATGTTAATGCCTGATAATGCATCTTGTTTTGTCATGTGTACAACGGGGAGAAATGTTTTAACAGAGAGTAGTAAATAATGTGGCCAGTCAAGCCGCTACACTGTAAAATTTTGCCCGTGAATTATTCATCTCCTCGCATTTAACGGACCTGCACGCTTTTTCATTATAACCAAACGCTTCAAATTAAACAGAGAGGACAAGCAGGGACGTAGTGGGGGAAAAAAGGGTGGAGTTGTCCTGATGTCATCCCCACACACACACACACACACACCCCAGAGGGGGAGGGGGTGAGGTGCATGGGGCCTCTGTATCCTGAGCTTTTTAGCACACTCGGGGCTCTGCTACATATACCTTTTTGCTTTTAACCCTCCCTTGCCCCCCATTATCCACCCTACTCTCTCCATACTCTGGCATCCAGCTCTTGTGTGAAGTCATCGGAGTGGTGTCTGGGTCAGAGCTCCCCCGCCACCATCCCACCACCCTGCCTTCGGGCTTGTTCCAGGCTCCTCACCAAAATCCACGACCCCTTTATAGGCTTTATGGAGAGCATAACTGAGCGAGGGGAGCAGAAAAGCAAAGATACAACAGTGTTATATTTGGAGGGAAAAACACTGTCATGTGTGATTTTGTTGTTATTGTCATTAGCATGTGACTTTGCTTGTTTGTTTTCTTACGTCTAGTGCCTCTATTTGGCTTTGTTTATGCTGGCATACAGCACTTTTGTTAAAAGTTGGAAATGGGCTCCTGGAAGAAATCAAATGCACTCCTCAGCTACGACAAGGAGTATTTAATGACTTGTGGCTTCCTTGGATCAGGCTAGGGACTGGATGAAGGATGGGCTGGAGAGGTGGGATGATGGGATGCACGCAATGGAGATGGATTATGTGTAGAGGGATCACAGTGTAACATAGCTGACATAGAGGAAATTCTGGAGAACTTGCGGGCTTCTGCTGCTGTGTGTGTATATGTAGCAGCAAAAATGGAAAGAATTGTGTGTCACTTATGAATTTTGCCCTGTGTATGATTGTCATTTAGATAAGTACCAGCTTCATTGTCATCTACCTCCATTTTACTGTCCATTCATTCCCCATGGAGTTGCCTTTAGAGACAAATAATCCCACTGGAATCACATATAAGCCAGTCATGTACATAATGTCTGTTAAGGCTGCATTGCAATTTATCTGACAGCATTATTCTTTGCAGCAGTGTTGGCATTGTAATCCCATTTCCAGTTAGTGCCTCCTGCCTCGCGCTCATGCATAAGTCAATGTGTGTTTAACATTCGAATCATGCCTTTGGTACGTGGCGTGTCACACTCTAGGAGACAGTTGTTTTTTATTCCTGTTATATTCACTTTGAGTTAGCGTGTGATTCCTATTCATGTATGCACGCCAGACCAAGGCCAAGGCTTTAGCAGCGGTCTGCGCGTGTGAATGAAAAGGAGCATTAATGAAGCACCGTGGCCGCTGCTGTCTGTGCTGCATGTCAGAAGAAGAGCAGAACAGGGTCAAAAAGCTGAGTGGGGATATGGGATTGCTCAAGCCAAATATCTGTGTGTGCTTGTGGAGAGACCTCAGATTTCTAAATCTGCTTGTTGCATGTAAACCTTCTGATTTGACATTTGGTAAAGCATGCAAACATTTTGCATGATAAGACCATGTGGACACATAAAGTGACCCACGTCTGGTTGTCCCGCTGGCTTAGCTGCAATGTTTGAGAGGGCTGAGTGACAGAGAGTTGAAGCATGTTTATTAAACAATGGCGTTCGTATTGTGCAATGGATTAGCCATAGGTCTAGCAATTGCACACCATTCATGTAAATTGCTTCTTAATGCGTTTCTCTTTAATATTGAGAAAAGTGCACTCTTCTGATTCTTAAAAAGTAAAACCAGAGAAAACATAGAGAAGTATTTTCTGTAATCTATTAATGCCATAACTGCATTTTCACTCGAGGTTCATTTACTTGAGGCTTCTATACGTTTTAGAGCTTTTGAATTTTTAACCAGTCAAATCTTATTCAGTCTAGGGTCTCTATAAGCTTCTGCTGGGGTGGTATTATATTTGTTCTAAAAATCCTCGGCTTAATTCCTAAATCCTGCTGTTACGGGAAATCTGGCGTTGTGTGCACAGTCGGGGAAGTATGGCAAATGTTGGAACATTAAAATTTGACAGTCAGACATTGTTTAGTTTGAAGCAAACAGAACGCTGTGATTTGCTTTTCTGTTAGGATTAGATCCGCAAACCCTGAGCACACACCTCTGCTCCCGTCTCTCTATTTGAAGTTGACTTTATGGGCATGAGTGATCTGCTCTGCTGTACTGAGTCGCTCGAGAACCAGGGCAGAAAAAGTAATGAGAGGAGCGGATGAGGTTAGGGAAGGAAGTCGGTCTTTACTACCCTGCTGCCCTTGACACAAATGTGGATATATTAATGAATATACTGACAGAGAGCTAGCGATATTTCTTTTTCCAGCTCTAAGCAGCATTATTCAGTTCTCAATAAAGACTGTCAGCCTTGCGATGATGGTTGTAGGCAAGTGTCTCAATTAGGAATGATATGTGTGAAGTCTGACTTTTGGAAATGAATAATCATTTTGGATTATGACAGCATGGAAAGTTGCTTCTGTGTTGTCCAAGTTTAACATTAAACACAGAAAACACTGCGTGTCTTCAGGTGGTGAATGACACCCGTAGATTAAATGAATGTAACCCCCC